GACGAGCCGCCCCTGCCCCCCCCCTTTGCCCACTTCATTACCCCCCCCCTCTTTTGACCCCCTCCCACCATAATCTAGGGACCCCCCCCCCCCCCCCCCCCCAACAAAACAACAAAACAAAACAAAAAAAAACTCGCACCCAATCTCCAGAGAATTATGCAAACGCAGATATGCGAAATCGTAAAACGAAAGTATAGTGGACATTCAGTTATATGACGAGATAATATAATTAATAGCGTAATTATTTCAATGTCATACTCCTTTATTTCTCTGTGATATTTTATGCTGATATATAAGAGAACTATTCTTATGTAAATATTGTCGAAAATCAATCAGTGTGTTCATCAAGAAATATCACGTTTACAATATCATTTCAACCACAAAAAAACCCGCAAAATTTTACTGTTTAAAAGTATAAAGCTACAGGGGCGTTTTGATTTCAGGAAAAGGACGGTAAAACCACGACAGTCACATTCAATCTCACCGTGGTGAGAAAGCTTAGGAGAAATTTAGGGAAGAGAAGATGTAATGCTGAAGAGACCTGGTTCCACTGGAATGGAGTCACACCTACGCGTCAAGAGTGGTCCTTGTATGATTGCAAGAAAAGGTTTGGGGAACCTCTTATAAGCTTAAGGAAGAAACTTTAAAATGAATAGTCACTGTACTCCCCATACTTGAGCCCATTCAGTTATTACCTTTGGGGATTTTTATCAGACAAAGTCTATGGAACTAACCCATAAACGAAACAATTGAACAACTAAAACAAATTTTGGAACAGGACGTCCAAAGAATTGACCCAGAAACGTGCCACGGCGTTATTCAAATTTTCCTGTGGTGTAACAGAGCTTTATGGAGAGAAATTGTCAACACTTGGCTACATAAATAGCTACCCCTGTGTTAATTTGGGCAATATCAAATCTGTATAAACTTGTTCCTCAATTCACAGAGAGTGACTACATTGTTTGTGTTTTGAAAAAGAACAAGAATTGAATTTTTAGTAGTTGCAAAGTTTTGCGTTTAACTCAGTTTTGGTTAAAATATTTAAAAAAACAACAACCCCCCCAAACAAAAACAACAGCAGCAAAACAAACAAAACAAAACAAAAAAACGGCAACTAGAGATCTAACCAAAAACTTTTTTTTTTTTTTTAACTTTTTGGTAGATTTTTTTCCACATTGAAATATGTAACGTCTCCATGGTTGAATTATATTTCTACGAAGTTTTGTTGAAATTGGTCCAAGGATGACCAACTATTGCTCTCTGATTTAGCCCCCAGCGCTTCTCACAATGGCTGACTGTTTTTCTTCACATCACTTTTTTCTCTTCTTTTTTTTTCTTTCCACTTGCATTTCAACCTTTTTTTTTTTTGAGTCATAGAATAGTATTTTTTTGTTCTGAAAATTTTTATCTAAATCTATGCGACGCATAGAGTTTTATCAAATTTAGAAATTTCTTTACTAACTTTTTGAGAGATCACCCATGAAGTCACGAAGCGGTCACAATGTTTTTTAGCGTCAGAATTATCTGTGGGCTGAATCAGTTAAACAGGTTCCCTTTTTAGGCACCCGGTACATAAATAAATAGTCACCTTGTCTTTCGATTCTTGAGATTTTTCATTTTCTGTGAGTTGTACTGTGTTTTCTCAGAATTGCGTCCTGATAATAATAAATTATGAAAACATTTTGGTGCTTCAATTAGAATCTAGTTAGTCCTTTCACAACATCCACGTGACCCCCCTCCCACAACAGAAAATTAGCACTTCGAAATTCTTGACAGCATGAGAAAGAGAGAGAGAGAGAGAGAGAGAGAGAGAGAGAGAGAGAGAGAGAGAGAGA